CCCTCCCTTCCTTCCTTCCTTCCTTCCTTCCTTCCCTCTCTTTTTCTTTCTTAAAATTGTATGTATTTCAGGTCATCAGGCATGGAGGCAAGTACTTTTACTCACTAAGCCATCTTGCCAGCCCAACAATGTAATTTTCTACATAGAAATTTCCACAGGACTTACCAAAAGACTCCTAGAACCAATAATTGAGTTCAGTATGTCACAAGATATAAAGATCGATACACAAACAAGAAGTGCATTTCTGCATATTAGCAGTGAACAATTTACAGAGAGGCTGAAATTTAAAATACAACACCAGTTACAATTATACAAAGAAAATGAAATACTTAGGTACACACTGAACAAAGACTGTATAAGATCTGTATGCTGAAAATTCCACAATGCCAATGAAAATGTCAAAGAAGATCTAAATAAATGGAGTGGTGGAAATTGTTGTGTTCATGGGTTAGAGAAGAATGTAGTGAAGATGTTAGTTCTCTCCAAATTGATCTACAGGGTTGATGCAATTCCTCTTAAAATTCCAGCAAGGTTTGTATAGATATAAGTTCATTCCAAATTTAAATAAAAACACAAATTACCTTAAACAGCTAAAACATTTGGAAAAAGAATAAAGTGGGAGGGATCATTCTACCTAATGTTATTATATAGCTATATCAATCAAGACTACTATGCACAGAGGGGGAGACACACAGAGTAAGAAAACACAAAAGAGCCAGAAATTGCCCCACACAAATGGCCCAATTGATTGTGACAGAGGTACTAATGCAATTTAATGAAGGAAAGATAGTCATTTTGTTTGCGCTATCAATTGTCTATAGGCAAAAATAAGAACCTCTACCTCAGGTCCAAGTTTATTACAAAAAGTAATTCAAAGTGAACCAACTGACTTAAAATACAACATTTTAGCTGGATATGGTGGCACACACCTTTAATCCCAGCACTCAGAAAGCAGAGGCAGGCAGATCTCTGTGAGACTGAGGCCAGCCTGGTCTACATAGAGAGTTCCAGACCAGTTGGGGCTACAGGGAGACCCTGTCTTAAAAAACAACAACAACAAAAAAAAAAAAAAAAAAAAAACAAAGAACTCGGAGCGGTAGCCTGCATCTTTAATCTCAGCCCTCTGGATGAAGAGGCAGACAGATCTCTGCAAGACTGAGGCCAGCCTGGTCCACATAGTGATTTCCAGGTGGACTGGGACTAGGGAGACCCTGTCAAAAAATAAATAAACTAATAAAACTATCACACTTTTAAGAGGAAATACAAGAGAAAGCACCTGGAACCAGGTAAGGATTCTTAAGACATGACAACAAAAGCACTATACATAAACACAGAATTTTATGAATGGCTATCTTCGAAATTTAAACAAATGATTTGCAAAATCTCTTGTTAAGCAACTGCAAAGATCAGCTGCAGAATGGGAAAACTATTTTCTGATCACATATATATCTTAGAGAGGATCTGTAATTAGAATATATAAATAATTCCTCAAATTTAACAGTGAGAAATAATCCAATTAGAAAACAGGCAAAAGATATGAGCAAACTGAAGAAGACAGAGATGGAAAATAAGCACATGCAAATATGTTCAACATCACTGGCCACTAAGGAAAATCAGTTTAAAATGAACTATCACCCCACAGCTATTAAAATAACTACAAGAGAAATATAGGGACAATGCCAAATACTGACAAAGATGTAAAGAAATTGATCTCTTATGTATTGCTGCTAGGAAAACAAAATGATACAGCTAGTGTGGATACTTAGCTGTTTCTTCTAACACTAAGCATACACTTAGCATCTGACCCATCAATTGCATTCTTAATTGTTTGGCATAAGGAAATGAAAATGTGTTTGCACAAAAGCCTCTATGTGATTTTACAGCCCCCCTTTTCTTTAAAATGTTTGTATTATGTGTGTGTGTGTGTATGTGTGTGTGTGTGTGTGTGTGTGTGTGTGTGTACATGCACCATGGCCTGCATGTAGAGGTCAGAGGACAGTCTCTCCAAAAGTTGGTTCTCTCCTTCCACCTTGTAGATCCCAGGGATCAAACTCAGGCCATTAGGCTTGGTGGCCAGCTCTTTTACCTACTGAGTCATCTGGATGGCCTATTCTTAACAGGCAAAAACTGGAACCATCCCAAATGTCCTTCAGTGGGTGAACTGTTAAACTAGTATATCCATACCCTAGAGTATTATTTGGAAATGGAAATGAATTAACTATTGATACTTGGGTGAATCTCAAGGAAATGATGCTGACTGAAACAAACACAGGTTCCAAAATATATGATTCCATCTAGAGAATATGCTTGAAATCACAAAATTATAGGAATGATGAACATGTGTGGAGTTACCAGGGATTAGATTATAGGAAGGAGGTGACTTATTACAAAGGATACCAGAGGAAATCTTTGAGATGGAGGAATAGATGGTTGTGGTGGTCACATGAATCTATACACGTGATGAAATTGTGTAGCTATATATACAGATTCAGAAGTGGGTGTTTGTAAAGTGGGAGAAATCCGAATAAGCTCTGTGTATTGTATCAGTGTCCAGTGTCACTATCTTGGTTTTGATGTACTTATGTAAGATTACCATTGAGAGAAACACTGGGAGGTACACAGGGGTTCATGGGACCCCTCTGTAATATTTTTACAACTGCCTATGAACATATATTTCAAAAATAAATGAAGTATAATAGAGTGATGTAAATGTGAAGGACTATGAATATTTTACCATTCATAGATTGTGAAGTGGAATTACATCTTTAGTATGAAAAACAGACAAATTACAAACAAACCCACATTATTGTTCATCCTAGAAATATTAAGAGAATGATTGTATGAGTTCATAATTGCAGATGATATATTTCCAAATCCAGAAAAATAAAAATAAAAACAACCCCCAAAACCAAAAACAGTTGCTCCTATCTGTATTTGTCAGAATTCAAAGGGCCATAACTAGTAGTAAATTATATACAATTATATATTAATAGTATATAATTGCCCATTTATTCATTTGAGGCTGTTGTCTTCCACAATGGTGATACTGTCTAGACAGATAGAAAAGCTTCAGGGCAGGCAATCAGGAAGGAAAGATGAGGAAGCTGGAACCTAGGGGCACAGACCAAAGCAGGCATCCTGGGGGAACTTTTAAAAACTCTCTCCAATCCTGTCTCTTACATTCTCAGAAAATCTCAACCCTTGGTTTAAAGGTTTTCCAAATAATTCTGACAAGCTCTCCCAGGCTGTCCAAAATGATGCCCCCTACTTTTAAGGTGATGATCTTTAATCACCTCCACAGCAACACTTGGATTAACGTTTGAATAACTGGAAACTGCAGGCTAACCAAGCCCATACCAAAAAAAAAAAAAAAAAAAAAAAACCATACACCATAAACCATTTTGCTTGCAACTGGAGAAAGGCATTGTCAATTGGCACCTAGGTTTTATTATTTATAGGTCCTTCAAGTACAAACGACGTAAATCGATAGTGGTCGCTGAGTTTATATACGAATTCCACTTGCAGAACTTTAGAGCTGGAGAGGGGGCCTGCAGAGCTTAGTCTGAGCTCAGGGAGCAGAGGCCACTGCACCTCGGCCCTCCCTAGAGCCTAGGGGGCTGGGGCTCCTCAGGGCAGCAGCGCGCGCAGCAGGAGGGGAGGGGAACCCACCTGAAGCACAGCGCCGCTCGTGCGGGAGCTCCAAGTGGGCGGGGCCTCGAAGCCGGTGGCGCTGGCGACTGCGCCCAGCCCGCCAGAAGAGCGCGCGGCGGGCAGACGGCGGGGAGTCGGTAGGGAAGGGCGAGCGCGGCCGGCGTGGGGGGGGGGGGAAGTGGTGGTGAGGAAGGAAAGGGAAGAGGCGGAGCGTGGGAGCGCACAGTGTCAGGAATACAATAGTGCTCCGCGCCGCCTTGGCCGCCGCAGCCGCCACTCCGTCGCCGCCCAGCAGCCTGCCCAGGGCTGAGGCCTGAAGGGCCGGGCGGCTGAGGGCGGGAGCTGAGGCGCTAGGGGGCGGCCCCGGCGGCTCGGGAGGCCCGGGCGGGAGGGCGGGGTAAGGAGATTAGGGGGCAGGTGCGAGGGAGGGAAGAGAAGAAAGCGGGCGGCTAGGGGGCGGATACCAGCCCTGCCGGACTCGCCCCGCACGTTGCGGGGCCCCCAGTGTGCAGCCGGGAAGGAGCAGAGCCCCTGGCTGCACGGAGGTAGGCGACCCAGAGCGCCGACGCGGCGAGTGCTAGACTAGCGGCGTAGCGCGGGTTAGGGGGCGGGAGTGGCGGCCTCGAGGAGTGGGGAGCGGGCGGCGCGGAGTGTAGGGTCCCGACCTGGCCTCGCCGCGCTCGGGGTCGCTCCAGCTCCACATAGCGGTCGCTGGCGGTGTCCTCGGGAGTCTAGGAGCGGAGAGCGTGTGGGGGCTGAGGGAAAGTGCTCGGTAGCCCCTCCGCCGCGGCGGCGGCGCTGTGCGCGGTGGCCCGAGAGGGGGCGGGGGGCGGCTGCGGACGCGGACGCGCGAGCTTGGCGGTAGCTCCGAGGCCACCTCAGGAGGTATCGAGCGCCATAACTGTGGCGGCTGTTCCCTTGCGAGCCCCCTCGCGGCGCCCCCTCTCGTCCCTGTCCGGTGCGTGGTGTCGGGGACTAGCGGGGCCAGACCCCAGAGCGAGAGGGCGTGCTCTATCTGCCGCCCTGGTCTGGATGGTCCGGGAGTGAGAGGGCGCACCCTGGCTGTTGCAGCTTTGGGGAGCGGAAAGGAACCGAGTGTCTGGAGAGGGGACGGGCGGCTGTGCGGGCAGCGACAAGGCACCCGCGAGCCTAGTGCCAACCTAGCAGAAGCGCGGGCGCCCCGCTGGCCGGCGAACTTTCCTTGCTGCAGTCATTGTTCCGACGCTACGAGTTCGCAGCCGCCGAGCGCCCGGTGGTCCGGGGAGTGAGAAAATCGCTAGGGTTTTGTCAGTTACGGGGAATTTTCCTATCACTGGCACCACACAGTTGTTAACTTTTCACCAGCTCCCGTGTTCATTTTATTCCCTCCTGGAACTGTGGTGGGGGGCGGGGAGGAATGGATGCATTTTTTTCTTTAAATCACTCAGTCATTCTCTGCTTTTCGGAGGGGAGTTGCACCAGGCAATCTGTGTTTATTTGTGAGGAGGAAAGGAGGGCGGGAATTCGAACGAGTGACCTTAATGGTGGTATATGGAGGTATGCTTAAAAGTTTCTAGCGCTGTGCAGCCCTAGGACATGGTGCGACTTCTAGGATTTTGGCAAGAAACTTGTTTGGCCGCTCCTTTCGCGTTCTGAATGGCAATGAAATCCAGGGTCTCAGATGTGCGGGAGCTCTTACCCTCCACTCCCGCCCCCCAGATGCGCTTATCTGTGAAGCGGTGGACGAGATCCCCGCCCTCTGCCCCCCCCACAGTTTGATTGTATAAGAAATCAAAACCGTGTTGACGGTGATTCTAGTGTCCTGGAGGGGAAAGGCAACCTCTTTCCCTGCATTCAGTCTGATAAAAGATAACTGCTGCTCCCTAAACTCTGAAAAGTAATGAAAAAAATTAGGTAAAAACTGGTTGCACAGCATTGTTGACTAGTTTAAGCAAACCAGAATCCACTTTCTCAGAGTAGTTCTCTTAAATACCTTCCTTGCAGCTACTACTTGTCAGCCTGGGGGTTGGAGGATGGGGGTGGGGATAAGAGCACTGTGTGCTTGAACAAAGCATTGTGCTTTATTTGGTTTAATACTTCCATAATATCTCTGAGTAGGAACGTTGATCCTTGCCTTTGGACCCTTTGAGTACTGTAGTTCTTAGACTTATGTGATGACTGGATTAGAGAAAAGTTGATTTTTTTTCTTTTTTCTTTGACCTTGGAAATATTTTACCTCCATAACTATCATTTTCTCTTTGATTTAAGGTAAGCTCTGAGCTTACATACTTGTATAAGTGGATAATACTCTCACTTTAAGGATCACAGAAGTTGGGGAGTGTTGCTCAGTGCATAGTGTCCAGCACATACTAAGTTCTTGGCCAACATCAGGTACCACTATTGCCACCTTTCTTTCACTTGTGCTCCTCTGTGCACTTTGGTTCACTAGGGGAGAGCTTGATTCTGTGGCCTTGAAATAGTTCCTCGAGGTTCTAGCCAGCCAGTTCTGGAATAATCCAGGTTACAGTATTATAACTCCAGAATCTACACTTTGTCCCTTCTTTTCTGAATCACATTGCTAGGCCTTGGCACTGTACTATGAATATTGGCTACAGGCAGTTCAAAGTGAAGTGTTTGTGGTCATTTAAGAGCCAGGAGTGACTTGAAAACAGCCTTTGGGCACTTGTGACCCACCTTCTGGCTATAGAAGAGGTACTGGCTGATGATTCAGGGGTAATCATCATACCTGAAACACATGCGTTGAATAAAGCTAAAGAACAAGGATTATGAAGGCTTGTAGGATTGATACAGTCTTCTCTTTTCCCTCTCTTGTGTTCTTGTTTTTTACTTGTCTGGCTGAAACTAAGCAAGTGTTTTGGGGGTGGTGAGGGAATCAGGAGACATCAGGAATCAGGTGTTTGTGAAGACATGATGTTACAGAGCTCTTGAGAAGCTTTAATCAGGGATGCAGAGAGGGATGCTAAAAATGAGGTTGAACATTATCATGGGACATAATGTACCTACGTCTTCATGGAGCTTACAAAAAACAGGATCTGAGGAAGACAGAACTGATAGGTTGTCTTATATCAAGAAAATCTCTCATCAGGGGTAATTTATTATGACCTTTGTTTACCTCAATTTTATAGATGAGAAGTGGGTGTTGGGTGATATCATCTGGAACTGTCCTAGCCATTCTTTTTGATGATGAGAATTGAACCCAGGGCTTTGCACATGCTAAGCAAGCATTCTACCACTGAGCTATACCCCTTACCCTGACACCTTTATAAGATGGGAACATTTGAATAGCTCACATGTTTGTGTTGTTCGGTTACTGTGAGAAATTTAAAACATTCTGGTTTGCAGGGTGGGGAAAATCAAGGATGAATGGTTAGAAGTGATGACGGGTGCTAGCAAGTGGTCATTACAGACCAATAATTGCTTTTAGTTTTCTGGAATCATTGGAACTTCTATGGTTATTTTTGTATCTTTTCTGTAGGTCTTTCTGTAGATACTGGAAGCAAAGCTCCTACCAACAGAACTGCCTCTGTGCGGAGTCCTTGGAAAAAAACCTGCATGATCCAATCTCCTAGACTTGGGAGAAGGAAGGTAAGAACTCCAAGTACTACTCTTCTGAATATGAAAGCGTGTTCTTAAGGGTCCTGGGGAGTCCTGGTATGCCCTGAAGAAAATAAAGGACCTGGCAAGGGGAAATTATACTGGGACATTGGCCAGTAAGAGACATCTTTGAGATCATGAATATCCTTCAAGCAACAAATAATTTGTTTTCCGCCCCAACTCAGAAGCCATGGCCATGTCCCACTATCCAAAGAGGTCATTTTTCCCTGGTACCTGCTGAGAGGCAAAAAAATCCCTGAGCCCAAAATGTGGGTTTTGTTGTTGTTTTGAGACCAAAATTTCACTGCGTAGTCCAGATTGGCCTTCAATTCATGATCTTCCTGCCTCAGCCTCTTGAGTGCTGAGATGATAGGCTTGGGCTACCATGCCTGGTTAGAATGTGTTTTTGGAATAGCTAATGAGCATGTGATACCAACATGGCTGATATAATACACCTTATGTGTTGAAATCTCCTGGGAAACTTACTGGTATTATCCCTTTTTGTATTTTTGAAACTTAATTTTGATATAATATAATTGCCAAAAATGTTGCAAGCTTGGTATAAAAACTCACTGTATTCCATTTATCCAAGGTTGCCAGTTATCAGCAGTTTGCTTTCATTTGCTCTTTCTGTTTCTTTTTCCAAAAAATTTGAGCATAACCATTGAGAGATTGGTACTTGTCAAGGCCATCCTGTCGTGAAGAGTGTCTCAGATGCAGCCACTGGTATAGCAGAACATTGGTGGTGGGGCAGGGCCCCAGAGGTAATGTCTCCCTATAGCTAAAAAAAACACATTTGTAAATGATGTGGAATCTCTGGTGCAAGTTATAGAAATTATGACCAATTATAAAAGTATTTAGGATGCCCTCCTTCATTGTTCTTGTTAAGTTTGTTCCTATGCCAAACTTCAATACTATGAAAACTCAACTCCCCAACTTTGCGGCCATTAACATAGTCTCCAACAGTTTATTTAATTTATTCAGCAAACGTATTGAGTGCCTTCTGTTTGCTAGGGATATGAGGTGAAAGATACTCATCCTCTTAACAGCTCAATGTCCAATGGAAAGAATGTAAGGAATCTTCTCACAGTTAGAGGGAGGAATGTTCTGCTGATGGGAAGAGCAGCTGGCTAAGGATCTGAAGAGTAGATATCTGTGAGTCATTTACATGTGTGTAATGTAAAGATCCATCTTTAAGGCCTTCTGACCTGAGATGACAAAGTTCATGAGTTACAGAAATCTTTGATGTCATATATCTGTCACAGGCAGTGGCACAAGGCCAACTTGGACTTAAATTCTGACTCCTCTTGATCTTGTCCAGTTACTTCTCTATGCCTCAGTTTCTTCATCTGCCAAATCATATCTCTGAGGGTGGTAGGGAGAATTTAGTTAAAGTAATAGTTGCTCTGTAAACATTTTTCATCTTCCCTTAATAATGTAGAGAATAACATGAAAAGTATTAGGTTTTAAGGTAGGAGCTAAGGGTATGAAATAGTTCTCGTTTATTCAATAACTAAGTATCTGATTGGTAGTTTTACTTGGAGAGATGACAGAGATTACCATATGGAGTAATAAAAAAAAAACAGCAGCTGTGATTTGGTAGCCATTTTCTCTGTGTTGAGCACTAGTTAGCTCACTGAGTAGAGGATATCTTAGAAATTTGAATCTTAAAAAGGTGAAGCAGAACCAACTAACTTCCCCAAGGACACACAGCAAGGAAGAGGTAGAATTCAGATCTTTGTGACTGAGACCAACAGAGTATTCTTGGAGTGTCAAGAATGAGCAGAAATAAGCAAGGTAAAAAAAGGTAGAGAGAAGAGATTGCCAGGCAGAGGGAACAGTAGATGTTGTGAAGACAATGAGTTAGGAAAGGGATATAGAAAGGATGGATTCACAGAGGTTTGGCTAGGATCTGGGAAAAGAAGGTGAGACATGAGATTGACAAGGCCTTATGGGACCTCAGTAAGGAGCTTGTGTTTTATTCCAAGGACCTATGGAGGCTACTTAAAGGTGTTTTTAAAAACCTTTTCCAAAGCTCTGTGTATGTGTGTTTAATTCAGAAAAGTATTCAGTTGTACCTAAAATAGCGCACGATCGTTTCTTCAGTGTTCTACCTTGTATTCCAATGAAGCAATGCTATTGTATAAAACCAATAGGTTATAGGTGACTTTTGATGTCCACTGTGAACATTGGTAAGAAAAGTTGCTATGATGCTAGAAGGTGGCCCTTCAGAATGCTGATAGAAAGAGTTCATTAGGTTCCTAGCTCATGTTTTATAGGCTAGTTAAAGTAAATCTTTAGCTTTCACTAAGCCCTGTGGGCCAGATAAACAATTGTAATTAAGAGGAAAAGTAATTCCTAGAAGCCTGGATTTAGCATTACAAATGGGACTGTTGGGTATAAGATTTTGGTTTAAATATATCATGATCAAGATACTTCTGTGACTAAATGGAAATTTGTCATCTTTTTAAGCTTTTGTGTGTGTGTGTGTGCCATCTGTGATGGCAGACAGCACATTTGTGAGAATCTGGAAAGACTGATGAAACATTTTTTTTCTATTATATATATTCATATTTTCATGCAGGTGTAGAAGTTTTTATATTTGAAACTTTTTATAAACAGGGTAAACTTCACCAAAGAAAAAGCAGTGTTCTCTTCCCCTTGCTATGTACATTTTAAGTAGTCTATGCCAGTTAACTTTGGGCGGGGGGATGGGTAGTTGGTGACTTGATGATCCAGGATGCCCTTGCCTAGACATCTGCTGGTTGGCAGGTGAGTTAGTCTAGGTAGGAGGCCCTAAACCAGGATGGCTCATTACCATTCCAAGTAGTCTCTACTACTTGGCTAGTCTGAACTTGTTAACGTGGTGGTCTCAAAGAGTAGCAAGCAAGAGCAAGCACCAGTGCATAAACACTTTTTTTTCAAGTGTCTGCTCATGTCACATTTGCTATTGTTCCATTAGCTAAATCACAAGAGTGCTTTTATGGCCAAGCCCAGAGTCGTTGTGGGAGGAGACCATTCAGGGGGTAGATACAAGGAGCTGTGAACAAATTGGGAGCCTTTACAGCAATAATGCATAATAATTGGTAATGAATTAAAAGCCAGAGGGAGGCAGTATATTTTTCGAAGTAGGTATTCTCACAGATGGCTCTACTGTTCACTGATCTTGTATAGCTTTTATCAAAAGAGCTCCTGGGTTTCCTCAACCTCTATTCAAGCTTTAATCACAAAACCCCAGTGCACTAGATTGTAAACTGTGTTTTGTAGTTAAGCAGTAAGACTTACCTGGGAATCTACCACCATACAATGAGAAAAATGTTGACAAGTCTTTTCTTGAAACCATTTTTATTATATTATTTTTATCTAAGAGAAAAGTCCTTATCTGAGCATTGTAATAAGGACAAAGGTTTCTCTGTGGATATCTTATTTGTTCAACTTTTAAAAATATCCCTGTGGTTGCAGTGAAGAATCCAGCATCATACTGTGACGTGAGTGGCCAAGAACCGCCAGTTTGGGGCATCAGCTTTTGACCTTTGTTCTGGAAGATCTCAAAGGTAATGTTCTTCACACAACAGGTTTTCCAACAGCTTGAGGACTAAAATTTATTAAATAAAAATGTAATTTGATCATTAGAGATAAGTGGGAAACTGAGTAAAAGGCTCAGTTGTGCATGTTAGAGATATGTATATTCCTCCAGAAAATTACCTGATGATACAATCATAGCTTTTTTTTCCTCCCAGGATTAAAAGTTTTAAATCTTAATATTTAAGTCAGTGACTTGAAAAGAGCCATCCAAATTTATAACCATCATTTGACTCTGCAAACACTTCCAAGAATTTATTCAACAGATACATGTTGTTATTGGAGTATTGCTTATAGTAGCAGAAGATTGTTAATAACATAAGTGTCAGTTGAGGCTTACTTAAACAAGAGAGTATTACAGTGATACTGTATAATACAGCATTTATAGAGTGAGAAAAATCATGAAATACAGTAAAGTTTATTGTATTAGTCACTGTTCTGTTGCTGTGATAGAAACATTAACTGAAGCAATTTATAGAAGGAAGAGTTTATTTGAGCTTGCAGTTCCAGGGGAATTACAGTCCATCATGGCGGGGAGTCATGGTGGCTGGAGGTGGCTGGAACAGGAGCAGCAGAAGTTGAGCTCTCATATCATCATGCAGGCACAGGAAGCAAGAGAACAACTGGAGATCTGGCAAGGCTTAAGAAGTCTGTAAGCCCACCCCCAGTGACATGCTTCCTCCAGGATAGCCACACCTTCTAAAACCTCCCAAAACAGTGGCATCATCTGGGGACAAAATATCCAAATACTTGGAGCCTATGGGGGACATTTGCATTCAAACCATCACACTTACTATGTGTTACCATTTATGTAAAACAGATAGTGATGGCAAGAATATAGAAATGTTTGTGTACATAGACAAAATATTTCTGGAAAATTATTCAAGACACTGACAATTTGTGGGCATGTATGACTTGGGATAGTGGATGAGGGTCAAACTTTTTACTGTCTAAACTTTTTTTTTAAATCAGTACCACAGTTTATTTGTAAACATGGTATTTGTGAATAATCAAACTGACAACATTTTCTATATTTTCTTTGTATAATATTAACATCATAGCAGTAAACAATCCACTGTACTGAGTTAGTTTTGGTACTTTAAAATCTTTTAATACAGACTGTATTTGAAACTTAATGCATAAACTCTTATGTATACCTTTTGAATTTAAACTATGTAAATATATATTTTTTTATTTCAGTAATATTTTTTGGTCCTTTTTGAGATAGGTTCTCTCTGTAGCCCCAGTTGGCCTGGAAATCACTGTGTAGACCAGGCTGGCCTTAAACCCACAGACATCCACCTGCCTCTGCCTCTTGAGTGCTGGGACTAAAGGTGTGTGCCAGCAGAAATTAACTTTTTTTTTTTTAAAGAGAACTGATATATGTTGATGGTGTTGGGAACTTCCAAGGACTCTTTTCCAAGTAGACTTGGTCAGATCTGTTTTGGTTCAACAAAGTATTCAGTTAGGTTTTTTCCCCCCTAGAAATGCCTGATTGTGTATACTTCTGACATTTTTGTGTGGTGCTGGGGATTGAGGCCAGGGCTTTGTTAGTGCTACACACATACTATACCACTGAGGTACACCTCCAGCCCCTGAATAGTAAGTGTGCATGTATTGGTGCATGCATGTGTGTGTGTCTGTGTATGTGTAGGTTAGAGGACAACTGCTATGGTAAACATTAGCATATAGCATTGTGTGAGTGTAAGCTTTCATTTCCTTGGGTTAAATAATTAGGAATGGTATTACTGGACCTTTCTTTGACAGAAATAGACAAACTGTCTTCCAAAGTGGTTCTCTTATTTTGGATTCCAACAAACCATGAATGTGAAGTATGTGTTGAAGTTCATTTTACTGCATATGGATGTTCAATTGTACTATTTATTGAAAAGACTATTTTTTTTCTATTAGTCACTTTTCTGTTGCTGTGATAGAAACACCATGGCCAAGGGAACTTGTAAAAGGAAGAATTTATTTAACTTATGATTCGAAAGGGGCAAGAGTTCATCATGGTGGGAAGGCATGGCGGTAGAGGTGGCTAGAGTAGGAACAGAAGCTAAGTGCTCACATCTTGAAGCAGGTACAGGAAGCAGCAAGCAACTGGAGATCCGGCAAGGCTTAAGAACTCTCTAAACCCACCCCCAATGATGGGCTTCCTCCAGCAAGGCCACACTTTCTAAGACTTCCCAAAACAGCACCACCAACTGGGGACAAAATGTCTAAATACTTGGAACCTATAGGAGACATTCTCACTCAAACTGACATTCCACTCCCTGGCCCCCATAGGCTTATGACCATATAAAGTTTCAAATGCATTTAGTCCAACCTTAAAACTCAGCCAGGCATGGTAGTGCATGCCTTTAATCCCAGCACTTGGGAGGTAGAGGCAGATGGATCTCTGTGAGTTCAAGGCCAGCCTGGTCTACATAGTGAGTTCCAGGCTAGCTGTGGCTACAGGGAGACCCTGTCTCAAAACAACCAAAAAGAAAAAAAAAAGTCCCCATAGTCTTTACCATCTCAGTACTGTTCAAAAGTCAACAGTCTGAATTCTGAGACTCAGGGAAAACTCTTAACTGTAAGCCCCTATGAAATCAAAAGACAAATCACATACTCCCAACATACAGTGGAACAGAATACACATTCTCTTTCGAAAATGGAGGAATAGAGGCATAGTGGGGAAATACCAGACCAAAACAAGACCAAAAACCAGCAGGACAAAACCAAATCAGTAGGTACATACAACTAACTTCTGGGTCTTTACTTCCAAAGGGCTTAGATGGCTCAGCCTCTCCAGCTTTGCTGTGTAAAACATACATCTCTCTCTTGGGCTGGTATAGAGCTGTATGCAGCTCTCCTTGGCATGTGTCTCACATCTCTGGCATCACAAATGTCTTCTTGGGGTCTCCACTGCCAACCAGGCTTCACCTTCACAGCTTCATGCAATGGTATATTGAGGCCTTCTTTATGCAGGAGAGCCCCTGCTGCATGTTGCCTGGCCTCAGTGCCTCCCTGAAACCATGGAGGAAGAACCAATTACCCTTTTACTATTGTATTGTTCATGCCTCTAAAGCCGGCACCAGATGAATGACACTACCAAGTTTGGCTGCAAGTTTGGAGTAGACCCTGGCCTGCTTCATCTACTTTTGAACCTTTTCTCTGCTGTGGTTTTCTAGGAGTAGAAAAACCCAGCATTTTCCTTTCACAACTTGGAGGCTTAGGTGGGTGTGTTCTTGACCTGAAGGTGCCCTCTCCATTGCTTAAGGTCAAATCTTTAGGCCTCTTCTTAATTACTCTAACCTTATCAAAGGGATCCTCTCCTGAGAGCACATGCCTTGGCTCCAACCTTAATTTTCCTAGAGCTCTTTTTCAATCCAAACTGTACATTCTACATTTCTTTCTGCCCCATTTGCTCTTTTTCACTGTAGGACTGTATAATATTCACCATTAATAGCCATGCTACCATTTCTACACTAGGCTGCCTTGAAATATATTCCACCAAAGAAATCAGTCCATTGTTTTTCAACTTAGCCTCCAGCAAGCTTTTTGGTTGTGAACAGATCCAACCAGACTATTTGCTGCTTAAGTCCTTATTTCCCTCTGGAACTACATTGTTCTCAGTACTACTTTCTTCCAGACCCCTACTAGAATGGCCTGTTAAGCTCCGCTTATAGCAGTCAATTGCTTTTCTAGCCCAAACTTCCAAAGTCTTCCACATTCCTCCAAAAACCCACATGGGCATGTTCTTCACAGCCAACACCTAACTCTCTGGTACCAATTACTGTATTAGTCACTTTTCTGTTGTTGTGATAGAAACACCATGACCAAGGGAATTTGTAAAAGAAAGAGTTTATTCAGCTTACAGTTCCAAAGGGGCAAAGAGTCCATCATGACAGGGAGGCATATCAGCAGAGGTGGCTGGAGTAGGAGCAGAGGCTAAATGCTCACATCTTCAAGCAGGCACAGGAAGCAGAGAGCAACTGGAGATTCTGTAAGGCTTAACTCTCTAAGCCCTCCTCCAGTGACATGCTTCCTCCAGCAAGGCCACACCTTCTAAGACCTCCTGAAACAGTGCCACCAACTGGGGACAAAAGTCCAAATACTTGGAGCCTATGGGGGACATTTTCATTCAAACCACCACAACTATTAAATTGCCTTTGCACCTATACATCTGTTCCTGAACTCTGTCTCATGAGTCTGGGTCTTATAATTTTTCCATTAATATACCATGATTTTATCTTTGTGGTGCTGAGTGTAAACCCCAGGGCCTCAAGCATACTAGGCAAGTGCTTTACCACTGAGCCTCATTCCCAGCTATGACACTGTTAACACACTTTCTTGAATACTATAACTGTATAGTAAATTGAAATAAGGCCAGGGGTACTTTGGTGTTTTTCTTTTTCGGAATTGTAGTAGTGAATGAGGACCACTTGTTCTAGATTTAGAATAATGTTAGCTGTAAAATTCTGGTTTTCTTTTCTAGTATGTGTCCTTCTGTGCACAAAACAGTTAATTTAGCATGGTTTGAGGCTGCTATCTTAGAAACCCTGCTTGTAGAATTGGCCCTTGGCCAATAGATGGAAAATTAACTTCTTAAGCAGTTTTTAAAAATAAAAGGTCACGTTCTACTTTCATTTGTTCTTTTTCCAGTGCCCTTTACTCTTTTTATTTTGTTAATCCCAATTTCACACCTTTGTTAAAGAATTTCCTTTAGCCAATCAATATTCCAGGATGAAGTGGGGTGGGACCCATAGCCCCTGAGTCCTAGCCGAAGAGTGATTGACAGTTGCTGGCTGCTAGGGGAAGGCGAACCAGTTTTTGTTAGGGGTGTGATCCCTGGTAGGTTACTTGTGCTTTATTGGATAGTCATGTAATCATTCATATATAGGCAGCACAGATTGGATTCAATGGGTTATTTTAAGAAAGAACATGAAGTTGGGAGAGGAGTGGGGGGGGTGAATCTCTGAGGACTTAG